TTGTGGGCAGCAGTGATTTGTCCTGTTATCTCACTGTTATGATATCTAGAAAATGTTGTTGAATTTTCATTTTGTTCAACATTTTACTTGTAGAATCAAGTGACAACTTCCAAACTCCTCACATGCCAGACATGTAGAGACAAGTATTGTTTTTTGCTGTTTGCCCTGAAGATTCTAATCAACATCATATTTTATTAATGATCTGTTTTGTATTAATCACTTTAATTTCAATGATATACAAAAATTAGCTCCTCTGTAGCTTCACTTCCAGTCTTCTTAGCACTGTTATATATTTACACATTGTTCACCCAGCAACACAGACTTAAATTTATTCATTATGCAATTGTCTTTTAAATCAGGTAGGAAAAACAATATTTGGAAATAAACATGTACACATAACAATCTTTACTATTTACCTCTGTAATTACCTTTACTCATGTTCTATTCTTCATGTGGAATAGAGATTCTTTTTGGTGACCTTTTATTTCTGCTGGAAGCTTCCACCTAATCTTCTCACATGGAAAGTTTGATAGTGCCACCATCTCTGATCTAGAACTGTCTCATTTTTAAAGAATCCTTTTCTTGAAAAAGAATACTTGGTTGATATTCTTTTTCCTTCAGTACCTTAAATCTGTCATCTACTACTTCCTGACCTCCATTATTTCAGAGGAAAAAAATTATCTTTTCTGAGGTGAGAAGCTAAGAACTGAACCCAGGGCCTCCACGTGCAAAAGCACATGCTATACTAGTAAGCTACACTCCCCGATCTAAGTTTTTCATCTTTTTGAAAATTTCTTTTACACAAAGAATTATTTCTATCTTGCTGTTGTCAAGATTCGGTTTGTTTTTGAACAATGTGATCATGAAGGTCTCTAGATATAGACCTCTGAATTTATCCTTCTTGGAGTATGTTGGTATTCTTGAAGGCGTAGATTTTTAAAGAATCAAATGCTAGTAGTTTTAGTAATAGTAGTTTTGGTAGTTTTGCTCGTTTTGCCATCTTATATTCCTTCAGCACTTTTCTCTCTCTCACCTTTTCATTTGGACCTCCCACAATTCACATCTTGGTAGATCTTTGAGACTCCATTAATTTTTTCTTTATGTTTTTTCTTTCTTTTCTGTAGATTGTATAATCATAGTTCACATATTTTAAAAGTTAAATTATATTTTGTTTGTAAGGCATTATCTTCATACTTTGTTTTAGTTCTATAAACCTGATTTTTTATATTTATATACTAACATAGCTGCTATTTAGATACATTATTTTTAAAACTTTAGTGTAGTCATTGGAATAACTGTAATCTCTCTTCCAGTACATGATTTGTTGTTAGCTGCTTAAAAAGTCTATTTTTAGAAAAATAACAATTAAAATGGTACCCTAGAAAATATCCATTTACAACAAAAGATAGTAGTAAGGCAGAATAAAGGAACAGATAAGACATTTGGAAAACAAATACTAAAATTGTAGAGTAAATCCTACACTATCAATTATTACAAGTATAAGTGGATTAATTATTCTAAAAGGTAGAAATTGACATGATAGATTAAAAAATCATCTACCTATATGATATGAAGTTCAAAAATGTTCCCTACATTTAGACATACAAATAATATAAAAATAAAAACATAGAACATATGCCATGCAAATAGTCACTAAGAAAAAAAAAATCTAACTGGAGTGGCTATGCTAAAATGAGACCCAATAGACTTTAAAGCAAAACTCGTTACTAGAGTCAAAGAACACTGTAATGATGTCACTCTATTAAGAAGAGACAACAACTATAAATATACATATACATAGTATCAGAGCTTCAAACTGCAGGAAGAAAAAAGCTGACAGAACTGGAGGAAAATATACCCTTCAGCAAACAGTTGGAAAATTCAATACTCTACTTTCAATAATGAATAAAAGTAGATGGAACATTCAAAAGAAAATGTTGACTTGGATAGCACTATAAACCAACAGATACATTTAAGGCAGTCCAACTTATATGTGTGTAGAATCCACATTCTAGTTAGGTAGAGTTTTCTTCGGCACAGGTTCTATGTTAGTTGATAAAACAAATCTCAATAAAAATTTTAAAATTGAATCACATAAAGTACTATATGTCCTATGACAACTATCAAATGAAATTAGAAATCAGTAACAAAAGGAAATTTAGATAATAGAGCAAATAAAACAAGGTTTTAAAAAATAATATTGAACTTTTTGAATTTAAAAACTAATTGGAGTTTAAATTGGAAGGGTTTTTTTATTAGCAAATGTTTGCAGTACACAATTATTCCGTTCATCATGGGGAGTTGATACCTTGATGTAACACATCTTTTTTTTTTAATCTCTCCCCTCTATCTCTTGGTCCCCTTGAGTTTTTAAAAAGATGTATCTCTCTATTTCCTATTATCTATCCTTCATTTTGATATTTATTTATACTTTGGGTCTCATATAAGAGAAACCATATGAAATTTAAGCTCATGTTTCTGTTTTATTTCACTTAACATTATGGTCTCAAGATACAACCATTTTCTTACAAATGACTCAAGAATATTCTCTATATGCTTCTATCAAGATCTGTAAAAAATAAAAATAAAAATAGCTATGATTTGTACTTTCTCTCTAGGGCTGAGAAAGAATTACTCCTCTATTTGTGACCTTTTTTAAAAAATCATCATTTAGGAGTCTTCTTTGAAAGAACATATTCTCTGATTATCATCAATCACTTTACCCCTCTATTTTAATCCTGATCTTTACAAGAACACTAATTTATAAACATAGTTTTTAAAATTTTTGTTCAATTGGTAGAAAACAGCAACTCCCCAAATCAGACTTTAATCAAAAGCTGAGTGTTTTCTCTACTTTGATAGGAAACCTTCTTCCAGAAGGTTCTAATAATTTTAAAATTGGAAAATTTTTAATGTACATCTTGTCCTAAACACCATGGGGATTGTATCAATAAATGAAATTCAGTTTCTAATTTCAACAACGTCATTATGTATTAGGTACATCGCGCTAGTCAGACAAGCACACAAACAGCTTCAGTTACATACAAAATAGAATAAATGAAATAACTAAGGGATGAAAATCTATCGTTAACAGGAAAAAGCAGTTGTTGCATCCAATTACAGTACTTAGGAGAGGCTTGTGTAGAGCAATGGTTCCCAACCCTGGTGGCCCCTCAGTTTCACCCTGGGAACTTTAAGAACAGTTGGTGACCAAAATTCACTCCCACCAAATAAAAAATATAATGATATGGTAAATTATTTAGCCAATTCTGATAATGTACTCCATACCATAGAATTTATATGAAGAATAAATAAGTCTACCAAGGTAAAAAAACTAAAAGCAAACACCTCGTGCAAATGGCCTAACCATCAGGACTTTTAACATCTCCCTACTTGATTCCAAGATGCAGTCAAGTTTGGGAGTTATTTTTGTGAAAGACAGCGGTAAGGAGGGAATAGTTAGAATTAAAGAATGGGTAAGGTTTCAATTGAAAGGGATATGTTATTAAGGCACTTGGAAAAATGTCCTCAAAATAGCTAATTTATTTTCATTCATTCTCAGCTTATTATAACATTTTCTGAATTATAACACTCTCTGAAAAGCTTTTCCTGACTCCTTGAATGATACCAATAATAATCCTAATAATGGTAATAAAAACTGACACTTTTTAATCGGCATTGCAGGATGCCAGCTATCATTCCAAGCAATTTGAATATATTTTAATATCAGTCCTCTCAACAACACTATGAGATAGATATAGTATTATTTCCATTTTACGTGACAGGAGGATAAATGAACTTGTTGCCAAGGTTACACCACTAAGAATGGCAGAATTGGGACTTCAGTCCATGCTCTGGAAGGCGACCAATTTCAGTGTGATGTTTGTTACAAAGCCTCCATCAAACCCAGGTATACTTCAATCACATCAAAAAACTCGTTGTAGTGTAAGTTTTTGCTTCTACTACTCATTTATTCATTCAAAAATCAAATACTGAGCATATTCCCTGTGCCAGAAAATATGGCTTGTTATTAAAGACATGGGGTCATATATGTAAAGGAATCTGTCAAGGATTTTTAGTTTAGAGAGAAGTCAGCAAATTACAGAGGACAGAACAAGTCCTGATGTCCACTTGTTTTTTTAAATAAAGTTTTATTGAGTCATAACTATGGTTTTATATATCATCTATATGTACTTTCATGTTACAGTATCAGAGTGAAGTATTTGAGAAAGAGCATCTGGCTATAAAGCCTAAAATATTTACAACCTGGCCCTTTATAATAAAGTTTGACAACTCTTGTCTAGAGAATAAGACAAATAAATCACCAATGACTACCTAAAGATGTACATGCTATGATGTTCAATATACGAGAACATAAAAAAAAACATATAGAGAGTAGGCTATAGAGTTGGGAAAAACATTCCTAGAAGGAAAATTCTGAGCTACTTTTTTTGTTCTTTCTTGTTTATTTCCTTTATGTCAGTGTAATACATGCATAATAAAGAATATACTTCTGGTGTGCTATTGCACAGCAACTGACTATAGATAACGGAATGTACTCTACATTTTGAAAAGCTGGAAGAAAAAATGTTGAAGGCTTTTACCATAAAGCAATGATAAATATTTGAGAAGATGGATATGTTTAATGTGGTTTAAACATTACACAATGTATACATATATTAAAATATCATTTCACCACATCAATATGTACACTTTTTATATTTCTAAATATCAGTTAAAAATAAATTTAACTTTAAAATGTCACTAAATACATTAACCAAAATGATTAATTCTTATGTAAAGTATATGTAATTAAAATGCATAAGATATTTGCCTTCTTTCAGTCATTAAAATGATTAAACTCTAAAAATTCTGATTTTTTTAATCCACTGAACTAGAGTGGAAAACATAGCTTCTACTTGTTCATCATTTTCAGTTGAATTGATAAAATTATTAACAACACACTTCTTCAAATGAGAAACGGCTGCAATACACTATACCTGGAAAATCCATGGGCAGTTCAAATGATTGTGGGGACTCACAACCTTCAATATTTTCACAAATTTCAGCTATGATCTTCTTAATTTTCAGGCCAGTGATTTTAATCACTTCTCCTGTTGAAAAACAGCATTCATTTCCAGACATTTCATAGATAGAACCTGAAAGGGAAAGAGAAAAGTAAAAATAATTTTTAAAACATAGTCAAGGGCTGCAGAAAAAAGCGGGAACAAAAGCCTCACGTAAAGTATTTTTACTCCACTTATCTCTTTGCTACCTATCTCTTTGCACACTTGGCAAAAGGTACACCATGTTCCAGGGTTCATATTAGATTTTCACTCCATCCACTGGATGAAGTATAAACAATTCTATTTTTGTATTATTATACATTGAATTTATGGTTTCTTCAGCACCTTCAGCTCATTTGTCCAACTTCAAACTACAAATACGTCTTCATGGCTGGGATTTCTGATCTATTTTTGCTGGGTCACGGAAGTAGGCTCACATGAGCCAGCAATGATCTAAGTATTGCAACAAGGTTGTAACACGTTCCAAGGTCCAAAGACAGAGAGTTTTATATTAAGAACATAACTTCATTAGATTTGGTTCTTTTCATTTTCATGAATATAAGACTTTGTACATTTTTATCTGTTGGTTTCTAATAAGCTGGAAACAACTCTCAATGTCTTTAAGGCAATAGGGGGCAGACCAGCCCAGACAAATGAAAAAGCTTCGCTGTGGATCAGTCTCCTTCCTGAGAAAGCTTTCATCGTGGATGCTAATGCTGAGCTTTGTATCCATTTATTTTTTCTCCCCCTTCCCTCCCCAAAGGAAGAACAATGGACAGTGAAGAAACGGAAAATGAAGCCACAGGAAAAAAGGCCCTAGCTCTAGACAAACTACCCCTACTGAAAAGGAAACAACCACTAGCTGTTTCCCCTTCATATTATCACACTGCAATTGAGCAGTAAAATCAGGCTGATGTAAATAAACATCATGGAACTATAGACTTTAAAATATAATATTGATTTTCTTTACCTCCAAGATGGTTTATGGTTTCCTTAGCACATTAAATCTAAAACGTGTGGGGACAACATTTTAGGTTGGTTGATTTCTGAATTTTTCTCCATTGAACACTCTCCTAAACTCTTGCCTAAAATATAGTAAGAAACTAAAAGTATTTTTGGCATTAATAGTTCATTATAATTAAAAAGGTTATTAAGCCTGGCATCCAATTTAGCTTTAAACAACTACATGAGATCCAAAGGTATTGGAACACATTCACGATAAAGTAATTGAAGGAGGCTCAACATGGGGGCAATTTACATGGAGCAATTAATATAGAAGCATAGCCAGCCCTCAGCAACCTATGAAACTAAATGTCCTGCCCACATGCTCCTAGCAGCACGCCCTAGGAGCCAAGTCCCACCAGAGGCCAACGACACAGGAGCTGCCCCTGCCCCACAGAAGTAAGAGTAGAAATCAGGCAGAGTGGAAAGGAAAATCAAGCACACAAACACTATTGTCCACTATGTAACAAAGAGTATTTTTGCAGACTAGATATTCTATTCTGTCTGCCTCTCCAACTTTCAGTATATACATAATCTGCTTTTTTCTCATACTATTCCCTTAACTTCTTCTGTTCTCACACATTTATTAACTCCAATACATACCATTATCATCAGTCTCAGGTCCTTTGTTGAAGAAATTGAGGCATTAAAATAAATAATAAAAAATCCATGGTGACATTTTTCTCCAGTGATCTCAGAATAGTTATTTGCTATAATCCTCATTTGTCAATTAATCACATACTAACATTTTACATCTTCAGTATTATCTCACTCTGTATTTAACTTTTGATGAGCTTAGTTTTATTAGTGTCATTTCAGTTCCATGAGGAAAGATCTTCAATTAGATTTTTGCATGACTACAACACATCAGCCTCCCTTCTTTCTTCAATCAGCAAACTTTAATAAGAACCTACTGTGTGTCAGGCTTTGTGATGAACAGTAGCTACCAGAGATACCTACCTTTTTATCAGAGATAAAAAGTATTACAGTTTCCCCCCAGAGGAATAGACAAGTAGGCAGATAATTGCAACAGACTATGACAAAACTATAACATAGAAAATGCAGGACATTATGGGGGGATACCAGAGACACTCAAGTAAGCAGTTATATGGGAAAGAGTTAGGAGAATGATTTCTAAGGGAGAGGAAAGCTGAGCTGGATTTCAGAGGAAACATCACAGGATCCTAAGACAAACAGAGGAAATAGTATTTGAAAAGGCACTGAGCTGTGAAGGAGTCTAATACATTCTAAAAACTTCAAATAGTTTTACGTCTAAACTGTTAAAGCAGAAGATAAAGTGATAAGAAAAAAAAGGAGACAGGGAAGTAGATAGAAGGAGCCCAGATAGTGCAGCCTTTATGAAATTACCAACACACAAAAAGCCATTCAAATTCTGAAGCAACAAGTCAGAGAACATACATTTCCAGTTATGCAGGTCCAGGAACAAATACCAATTTAGTAAGAGGTCATTTGTACTCTAGACATTCACTTTCCAAAGTATGGTTCACTGTGTCACCTGGGAGCTTGTTAGCATCTTGGCCAGACCCCAGACCTGCTGAATCAGAACCCGCATTTTTAACAAGATCCCCAGGTGATTTGTAAGCACATTAAGGTTTGTAAAGCACTGGTCTAGGCAACAAATATATAACCACCAGAGTCTGTTTTGAGAGTATTGCAAAGCTAATCAGAGAGAGGAGGGCTTTCCAGGAAGAGAAAGCCTTGGTGTCATTGAAGAAGAGGATGCTTTAATAGAGAACAGGGAAAGTGAAGGATTTCAAGAAGAGAACTAGCATGGCAAGATTTTTTCTTTGTCACATGAAATAGAACATAAGTTAACCTAGCCCTTTTCAGGTATAGCCTCTGGGCTTAATTTCAATGCAATGAGTGTCTAATTGCAGATGTAATATAAATCCAACTGCCTGTCTTGGATTGTAACCTTTCTTTCAAAGGTTCAAGTAGAATCCAAAGTGAAATGATAAATTCATGTGAAATTACATATCAATTCAGAGGGATGAGAAGCCAGAGAATTCAGTGAAGAGAAAATTCTGAGATTTGGTCCCCACACAAAAAGCTTTCAACTCTTCAAGTCTTGTTCTAAGCATTTCTGTCCTTAAAAAAAAAATTCATTTCTTCCAGTCATACAAGGAAAAGAAACTCACATGAATGCTATCATTTAACATTTCTCTTTATGTTTTGTGACTTCTAGTTTTTTCTAATCCCGAAAGCTGTTGGCTCCTTTTTCTTTTTTTTTTTTTTTTTTGGTACTGGGGATCAAACTTGGGACCTTGCGCTTGCGAGTCAGGCCGCGGAACCACTGAGCTAAATCCCCAGCCCTTGTTGACTCATTTTTAATAAAGAAAACGTTCAGTAATGTCCAGCACTAGAAAGCTATTTCTGTGATAGGTGACAAGGACACAGGGCCAATCCCAAATCTTTGAAACTGAACAGACTTTGTTCTCATCAATCCAATGTCTCTTAAAATATACTCTTCCTCAATTCTTATATAAAATGGTGAATTTTAAAAATAGCCAGCTTTCATAGTCTCAGAGCAAACACATATGTATAATTGCTTTTTAAAATTTTGCTGAGACGTGTCTGAAATATGTTTATGTATATATAGACATACATATTAAAATGGCTTTCATTTCATTTTAAGCACAAGACATGTATTTTGAATATGTGAGTCTCGCATCTATTAAATCTTTTCAGACTGATTCTTTCCAAGTCAGAGCATATGTATTCAGGATACTGCCAAACATCAGAGAAAACTGGAACAAAGCAGCCTGTTTTCAGTGATCAAACATCACCCCTGAAGGCTATAATGAAAGAGCCACGTGCCTTTGAAATCACCTTTTCTGTAATGCTACTTTACTCAATAAAAACGACACATTAATATCCTTTTATGAGCTCACCTCTCGTTTGACAATCCATGTAAGTAAAGCTGTGATCACGTTGAAACAGCCAAAACAATTGGTTCAATAGATTTTCTTCCATTTTCCCTCCAAGTTAAAAATGTGTGGCAGCCAGGAAAGAAGAAAGTACTTTGTTTGGAGATTTTCTCCTCTTTACGCAAATGCACTTTGCTTCATCCCACACCAAGAAACTCATCCCTTTTCTTCTTTATCCACCTGTCCAAGTCCAACAAACTATAGAACTTCAGCTCATACTCATCTTCTTCCAAGCCTTTCTTAGGGGACACCTAAATAAGAATTAATTCTGTCCTTGGTTCCCTAATAGCACTTTGCATTTATCTCCACTATAGCACATACATGATTATTATCACAGCCTGATAATATTATGCTATTCTCTGACCATTGGTATGGTATATATTTTGGAATTTGTTGTAAATTCCTATTTTAACTATATTTATATCCCCAGATCCACACAAATAGCTAGTTACACAGCTTTTCTCCATAGTGAACAGTGAGTTATTACTTAGCTCTACTGTGGAATAACAATAAAATGTTGGGGATATAATAACGATCATCGTACATCAGCAGATTAGAGCACACTCAACTCCAGATTTTGGCATGGGTGGCATCTTCGGTTGGTATGTTTCAACATATGTGAGATCAGCTGGCCAACTTATGAATTCTCCAGTTAAGGAATACTAAGGGTAAGCGATTCCATAATATAATTTGTACTGGCTGATTTTGCCACTTTCCCATAATGATTGCCATTTTTACATTGCTGTAGTTGAGGTGGAGTTCATGTGAGGCTCTGAGATAGATACAAAGGAGTTAGGAAATTGTATCTGCAGAATATGATCCACAATATATATTACCAGACAGGGGTTTGTGGTGCAGCTGCATCTTTCCTTAAGGAAAGCACATATTATCAATAAGGAGAATTCCCATAAGAGGAAGCCTTTAAGTGTGAAATTATTTTATTAGAATCATTTCCCTCGACTAGGTGGTTGATAAGGCATTAAGACACCATTAGAGAGTTCACAATTTTCTCTAGATAGTTCACCATAGGAATGACACTTAAAAGGGACTGTGGTTGCAACAGACATTTACATGGCCAGTCTTCCATAAAAATTCTGTTTCCATCCCCTGGAAGGTAGAGCCAAAGTCTTTCTCACTGTTTGA